CGGCTGTGCGTGTGGCTGTCGGGGACGGCGGGGCCCGGCTTGGCTGCGCCGCTGGAGGGGGCGGGGCGGGGCGGCCCGCCACCATGGAGCCCCAGCGTCGGGAGCTGCTCGCCCAGTGTCAGCAGAGCCTGGCCCAGGCCATGACGGAGGTGGAGGCCGTGCTCGGGCTGCTCGAGGCCGCGGGCGCGCTGAGTCCCGGCGAGCGGCGGCAGCTGGACGAGGAGGCGGGAGGCGCCAAGGCGGAGCTGCTGCTGAAGCTGCTCCTGGCCAAGGAGCGGGACCACTTCCAGGACCTGCGCGCCGCGCTGGAGAAGACGCAGCCTCACCTGCTACCCATTCTCTACCTGAACGGCGTCGTCGGGCCGCCGCAGCCCGCCGAGGGCGCCGGTGAGTGTCAGACCCCAGGCCGGGCCTCTCCAACCTGCCTTCTAGGACTGTACTCGCCAGCTCCCCAGGGGCTCTCGAGAGCCACTACTCTCTCTGCCCGGCGCCGGCCTGGGGTAGATCTCGTCCTCGAGACACTTTGGGGAGGGAGGGTGCATAGACCAAGCTGCACACCTCGACCTCCTGCCCTGTCGTGGCTGTCAGCAATGCCAGGCACCGAAGGCCTTGATCCAGGTGCCACAGCCGCGGGTCCACTGGAGGGACGGCCTCCCGTCCCTTGTCTACGGCTCTTCATCTTCCTCCAGCTCTTTTAGGAGTCTTTGCTAGCCTTTTGTCAGTGTGCAGTCTGCGAGAATGAAACCTGGACCAGGACCTGCACTTCTGAGTTTCCCCGTTTTAGGACCACCGGTGCCTTTTCACGTTTTGACTTTTTAAGCCCCCTCTGCCCTGAGCTCAATCGGCTCACCCTTGTGGTTGATTATGCACAATGCCTGCTAGGTTTCTTTGGAAACTATGGGCCTGGAAAAGTTGGGGAAGTTGCATTGCACCATGGGAAAATCCTGGTAGTGGCTGCTGGCGCTCACAGCCCTTTCTGCCGGGGCTGAGTCTCCTCAGGAGGGAACACTGGTTTCCTCGGGTGGTGGGTCACGGATTTGTGTGTGAGGTATGGGTGGGAGTTTGTGACAAGTGGTAGACTTGCTCTGGCTTCGTTGGGGAGTGTGAAAAACTTATCTTTTAGACAAGGAAGCTGGAGGAAGAAGGCACATCACGGAGTAAAGAACTAGCATTTATTAGGTACCTGCTGTTGTGGCAGACACTGTTATTGCTTTTAATTGTTACCTATGAAGTAAGCTACCTATTATTCCTCCTTTCCTTGAGAAAAAGTACCAGCTCAGTGGTTAAAATGCTCATAGTTTTGGGCACCAGGAATTGTGAATGTGACTTGTTTCATTTAACATGTTCAGGGCAAGGGGCCACCTTGTCTCAGTCATGTTCTTGTTTTGAGGATGAATGGAGAGGGCTGAAAAATGCCTTTAGCAACTTGTAGGCCAAAGGCTGATGAGACTCGTTTATTTGGTTGTTAAAAGCCTCACTTGTTAAGGGCGTGATTTTATAAGCTGTTCCTGGTAACAGCTCCCCATGAATATTGGCCATCTCAACCTCACTTCTTGTGGTCAAGGAAACTTACAGATAGAAACGAAATTGATGGCTACACAACATATCATTTCATTGGTGGCCCTTCTTCTCCACCTTGGGCTTCCAACTGCAGCCTCCACATCCCTCAAACCTGCGTTCTGCCCCCATTTTATGATTTTATCTGAGTTGCTGGGCAATTGCAGTCATCCTGGAATGGTGCTTTGGAAGATGCAAAGGACATCAGATGTGGCCTTGAGGATAAGGGCCAAGTGAAATCTCATCAGGTTGCTTTCTCTTTTCAATTGCTTTTATCTGGAATTTTTGGAAAGAGGAAGTTTGTCAAGGAAGTGCAGAAGTTCCAGTGTGGACTCAATTCCCACTGGGATGTGTTTGAATCAGCACTGGCTTTAATCTCTGAAGTAGATGGATAGGTGGCCCTTAATAGGCCTCCTTCCCCTTCCCACTCCCCACCCCATTTTGCAGAAGTGGGGCTTCACTGGTCTGAGGTTCTGGGAGGAGGTCCCTTAAGTAAGGAATAGAATAGGGTTTAGATTCTATCTTCTTAGCAGTGATTTTAGAACCTAGTTTTATTTACCACTTTGTGGACTTCTGTGGCTTTGCAGATGGCTTTCAGAAAATAATTTTCATGGGGAAGTAAGTCTCAATTTATACTTTAGGAAAAAATTAGGATGGCATTTACAGTGATAGAATAGACCTTCTGGGGGGAGGTGTGCAGGTGAAACAGTAGCTTGTTGGGGGTCTTTGTGCAGTAGTTCTCCAACTTTTTTTTTACTTCTAGCAAAGGGAGACCTTCTTGTGAGACAAAGCTCAGTGCATGAAATAGCTTCCTCTGGCTGAAGGGCTAGAGACAGCTGTCCCTGCCCTGAGGAGCCAGTGCCTGGGAAACCCAGCACTGGGTCTTGCCTGTTTGCTCTCCCTGGCATTTTGCACCTTGCACACAGGTCCACAGATGTGCTGTAAGCTGGCTTTTGTGTGAGGCTCTTGTGGGCGCCTCACTCTTTTGCCACCCACTCTACATTGGAGATACTGCTGTCACTCAGGGGCTTCTTTGGTAGATTTCACACCTGGCATGAACCCCTGGCCCAGAATGCCCACCCCGGCTGGCAATTGTGTATTGTGCTATAGGCAAATGATAACTGGCAACTCCACCTCCTAGGGCCTTGGACTGGCAGAAAGCTGGCCTGTGTGGTTATGGGCAGGTGAGCAAAGCAAACCTATCTGTTCCGCGCTCATGCTCATTCATCACCCCACACATTTATAACCTACTGTATTCAGGCCCGAGCTGTACAGGTAACTTAAGGAACAAATTGTGTTTTATTTGGTAGCGCAAGGGGGCTCTTTGTTCAGGACTGATGAGTGTGTCCCTGTTCTGCACACTGTATTTTACCATTTTTATATCTCATTTAATTCTATGACAACCCCAATGAGATGAGTGAGACCATTCTCTGTGTTACACTGTGCTCCACACCCACACCTGTAAAGGTGTGAGGACAGCCAGAAGTTGCAGAAAGGAGCAGAGATGAGAATAAGACCTTATTCTGAGTTTTTCCTGTTACCTGACTAACCCTTTCCACTAGAATTTCAGGCCATTTCCTGGATTGGGGAACTCTGTGGAATTCTGTAGTCTTTCTTTGTTCCTGTACACTGACCCCTTTGAGACAGTTTTTTTTTTCTGCTCTGAGCAAATCAGGCTTCTCCAGTTTTTCTATAGTTGTACCAGGATCTTATTTGCCCGAAACCCAGGCCATTCTTTGTTTATCCTCTTGGATTTAGTTACTAAAATCTGCCTTTGCTCACTTGAAGACCCTTGATAGCCTCTCTCTGGAATGAGGCCCTTTCCTTCTGTGCTGGGAACTCTGTGTCTTCATCTGTGTGATGGGCCTGGGGTCGCTGCTGGGCAGATGTGATCAGGGAGGCCTGGAGTGCCTGGTCTTGCCTGGCCCAGGATGGGCTGGGGTGCAGACAAAGATAGGTGTGTAGGATGAAATTCCAGCCCTCAGCTTGCTGCCTGGTTGGGGGAATGGGACACTCCAGAGAGTGACGTTATAAGACAGATCAATTAAGTGATACAGATACAAGCAGCCTTTTCCCTTCATTTAAAACTGTATATGACATGCTTTTCCCAAGTGTATTCTCTGGAGAATAACCTCTGGAGGCTCTGCTACCATCTCAGCGTGGAGCCTCCCCAAATCATTTCACACCAGGCCTCACTTGAGGCTAAAGTGGCGGAACTTGATGATTGCCCACAGGCTCTGTCCTCTGGGTGCTCAGAGCTGCATGTCCTTCTCATTCCTCCCTTTCTCCTCTTTAGTTTCTCTCAGGCTGGCTGACTTGGCTTTATAGGAGTAGAGATAGTGGTAGCTGCTGTGGAAGGGTGCCAGGGCCTGGGGTTTGAGCTGGCTATTGAAAGGGTGCTGGGAACTCAACAGAGGGAAAGTTCTGGGCAGAAGGCACAACAGCAGCAGAGGCCTATCCATGAGTGAAACTGTGTTTTCTGGTTGCAGACATTAGACCAGTGGAGCAGGGTGCTGGCATTGGCGCTGCGTGGAGCAGTAACCTGGAGGACTGCAATGGCTGATCTGAGCCAGGGGTTCAGCTACCACTAATTTTGGTAGTAAACATTTGGCAACATTTCAGTTGGAGGATTTCTTCTTTAAGGGAATAACCCTGCCAGGCTTTTTAGTAGGACAAATAGAATTGATTGCTGAATGCTAGGTATGGACTATTAATTATTCATCAGAGGCTACCTGGGCCTTTTGTTCTCTGCTTACTCTCTTCAGGTACCAGCCATCTTGTCTTTGTCCACTCCGCCCTGAAGGGTCAGCAGAGACAGTGACATAAATAAAACTTCTAACCATTACAAATTTTCTTTTGGTTCTTTTAATTGTAATATTTAAGAAGAAATAGTAAAGGATCTTGATAGTAATAGTTGAGAAAGGCTTTCAAACAAGAGGACAGATTTTATTATCCTCTGATAATTCAGGTCAACTTGATAGCAGGTGATAGAAACTCAAAACAATATTAGGCAGAATAGATAAATTTGCTGACTTACAGTATTTCAAAAATTTGGGATGGATTGGAGAAGTCATCCTGGCCTCTGGATAATTGATTCTGAATTCTGCAGGATTTTTCCTTGGCCTAGAACATGGCCTAAGGGCCTTCTGTACTTCAGCTTTTTGGTCTTTGGCCAGAAACTAAAGGGACCGCAGACAGAGTTGTCATGGAGGGATTCTGGTTGGCCTTACCCATGCCTTGTGTGAACCAATCGCTGTGGCTGGAGCTAGGGCACTGGGCAGTAGACCCAGTTATAGGGTAAGGGGATGAGATACTGTGTTGATGGCCCACACCTGCACCACATGGTTCCTTTGTGTAGGAAGATGCAGTTCGTCAAAGGGAGAAGAACAGGTGGGATGTTGTGCAGGTAGCAGCAGGTAAATGCCCACTACATCTTTGTATGACGATGCAATTAGTAGGCTAGATCATAGCTGCAGTGTGGTGGTGGGGAGGGTGGCAGACATTACCAGATTTTCAACTAAGGTAGTTAACTACTCTACAAAAATAGTTGTTAAAATAATAACTACTTCTCTGTGCTAGTTGACGGTCAAGGGTAGAAAAAAGGAGGAGTATTTCTTAGTGTCTGGGGGCAGTGCATTGCTGAACTCAGCAACCTGGGATTCTGACACTATTGAGGTTATGTGAGAATCCTTGTAGACTGTGCTGGACAGATGTTGGGTTGCTTTTACTGTGACTGTGGGTTCTTGGGAGTAGAACATAATCTTCAAAAGCTGAGTTTACTGTTATAATGCATAGAGTAGAGGAATGCTGTCCCAGGATGTGTGTTCAGT